CAGCGTACCCAGGGTGTCGATGGCATATTTGTGGAAGTGGTTAAATTTGATGTGCTTGTTGCATAGTATGTCTGGGTTTGGTGTTCTTCCCCTCTCATATTCCTTCAACAGATTACTGCAAACCAGACAGAGAGAAACTGCATTCAGTGCTCAACACTGGATAAAAAAACAAGTAAAAAATTTGAGAGATTCCACATTCTGATCCTAGTTTTTGTTCTAAATCTCATTGAAGTCAATATCAATTTTAAATGTAAATCAGAACATTTTTCCTTATCAGGAATCCTGGAAGCTCGCCTCATATTGCACTTTTTAAGCTCTTCCAGCATGCACACAGTTGTTGCACATCTGCAAGCCACTTTGCAACCAGCCTCCAACTGAGCTCCTACTTTTTAATGCTGCATATGAACATTGTAGATAGCATGTTGGTTTGATAGTTAGTGCTGTTGCCTCACAGCAGGAAGGTAATGGGTTCAAATCCACTGACCAGCTGGGGAGGAAGCCAGGGAATCTGGAGTGAACCCACATAGGATCTATGTTGCGTCTGCATGTTCTCCTCGTGCCTGCATGGGTTCTCTTTGGGTACTCCGACTTCCTCCCACATTTCACAGGCACACTTTAGGTTAACTGGTGATTCTTAATTGGTCGTAGGTGTGAATGGTTGTCTGTCTGCCTGGATGACCTGCCCAGGGTGTAACCTTCCTTTTGCCTTATGACAATTGGGACAGGTGGAACAAAACAGGGAATAGATGTAGCCCTCTCTTCTGTGCTTACTGCCACCTACAGCTTTCCATGTATGTACACAGAAGGGCAGGAAGCCCACACAACAGAAGCATCCAAATATGACTTACTGCACACAGAAATACCTTTGTGTATCGTGGTCCAAATGACCTGCAACTGTCTTTTTAGCAGCTCTTTAAACTAGTATGTTTAGAAACGATATGCTGAAAATCCCTTTGGAGCATTTTCACAAAAACGGCATTTCTCAAATTTCATTGGAGATGGCGGCATCTGTAATGGATAAAGTATGTTGAACACAGCGCCGACAGGACGATATACAGAGGAGGTGGAAAGGGGATGGAGGCAGATAAGCTGCTGTGAGCCCTAAAGGCAGCAGACAGAAGAAGACAGAAATACCTGAAAACTTCATGCCAGTACTCTTTGACATAGGAGACTTGATGAAAGGGGACATCCAGGCTCTGGCACACTCTGTATGCGTCCTCACAGTCCTTCTCTGTGGTGCAGACCCCCTTCTCATCCAGAGAATCCCAGTTCTTCATAAAAACTCCAGTCACGTTGTAGCCTTCAAACAACACGCAATCACAATGAGACTCACTTACAGCTTTACTTTGGTTTTTCTGACTTTATTTGATTGATTGATTTCTTTGATTCGTATACGGCGGCTTCACCCGTCTGGCTAACCTTTCCCCATCACAAAGCCAGTACAGGTGTGCTTCAGTGTTTCCACTGCCAGCTTTTCTCACCTCGTCTCTTCAGCAGTAACGCTGCGACGGAGCTGTCAACGCCGCCGGACATGGCGCACACCACGTGCTTTATCAAAGCCATGTTTTCATATTACTGCAGTCTGTCTTTGAACACTTTCTCGCTCACGAAGCTAGAATATTTCACCCAGCTGCTCCACAGAAGCCGCCATGTTTGCGGTCCACTCAGCAATAACGTTCGACTTGAAACGCATTTTATGCCGGAACCATCGAGCTGCAGAGGAGGGAGACGAAAAAGTTGTAACACTAAACTTCAAGGAGCTGAGTGAAAACAAATAATAAGGTCTGTGTAAAAAATACCGAACAGAATAAATATACATTTTTGGTTTCGTTTAAAGGCGAAACATAGTTGTTTTATATATAATTTAACTTTCACGTTTTTTCCTAATAAATCAGAGGCTCCGAACTGCTTACAAATTAAATCAACTCAATTCTTTACATTTTCCGATTATTAAAGCGGTGAACTCATGGTTGAGAGCTACATATTTTAAATTAATCCTACAGTAACTGCAAAAATATATTAATAAATTAATGAGTGTCTTTTATACGTTTATGTAAAACTAAACTACTGGGTGTGATGATGTTTCTCTGTTTCTGACCCACCCAGATGTGTGAGGTGTCTGCAGACCCTGTCACCCTGGACATGCTAAAAGAAGCGAGAGAGACGGTGAGGAGCAGCCCTCTGGGTGTCATCAACACCCCCATGATCGCCTGGAGGCAGACCACCCTGCCTCTCAGCATTGACTGCAACATCCACATCAAACTGGAAAACATGCAGAGAACTGGTTGGTGAAACCCACTTTGTTTGGCTTCCCTGACACTTTGCTGCAGGTTTATTGACTTCCTGTTTTTGAATGACAGGGTCTTTTAAGATCAGAGGAGTAGCCAATCAGTTTGCCAGGAGACCGGCAGGTGGCCGTTTTGTCACCATGTCTGCTGGAAACTACGGCAAGTCGTTTGCATATGCCTCAAAACACTTTGGGTCAAAGGGCAAAGTGGTGATGCCTGAAACCGCCCCAGAGAACAAGTCCATCTTTATACAGGTCAGAGGTTGTTTGTGGCACAGTTAAGCAAAAGACAAAAGCCTTGAAAGTTAAATACAGACAAATAAATTACTTCCTAATAAGTGTGAATTTATTACTTTGTCATTTTCATGGAGTGGTTATTCTTGTCCTCAGAGTTTAGGGGTGGAGGTGGAGCGAGCGCCTACATCCTGTCTGATAAATGTGGTGAACCGTTGTGTTCAGGAGGACAACATGACCTTCCTGCACTCCTTCGATGACCTGGATCTAATTGCAGGGCATGCCAGGTACAATCAGGGCTGGATGCTAGTGCATAAGAGTGCTTCTATCTTCGTGTTTTATTGGTAACAATTACATTTCTAATATCTCTGTCTTTTATTAATTACGTGTGCACATGCATTTAGTCTTGGTATGGAGGTGCTGGAAGTGATGCCGGAGCCTGATGTGGTGGTGGTGTGCTGCGGTGGAGGTGGGCTGCTGGCTGGAGTAGCTGCTGCCATCAAACTGTCAGGTTGCAGTAAAACCAAGATCTACGGCGTGGAGCCAGAAGGAGGTAAAAAGTCACCGACAAACTGATGTTTAACTTGTTTTTGTGTGCAGAAACTTTAAGTGTGTTTCTGCTTAACGCAGCTTGCACAATGTACAAAAGCTTAATTGAGAAGAAGCCAGTAGAAATGGACAGCAAGAGCATCGCGTCAGGTCTTGCACCACCTTTCGCAGGTAGTTTTTGTCAAATTTCTCTCCAGCATATCTGGGTTGTATGTGAACTGTTTTTTTTTTAAATTCCTTGACTTTCTGTTTGCAATACATGAGAAAATAGAAGAGTTTTCTTGCGCCATCACCAGGCAGGCTGCCCTATCAGCTGTGCCAACGTTACGTGGAGGGGATCATCCTCGTTAGCGATGAGGAGATCGAGGCTGCCGTGTCCACGCTCTACAGATCCGGGCTGGTAGTGGAGCCATCAGGCTCTGCTGCTTTTGCTGCCATCGTTAACAACAAGATCCCAGAGCTGGAGGGCAAGGATGTTGTGTGCATCCTCACCGGAGGGAATATCGGAAAAGCCGAGCTTGTGAACTTTCAGGACTGACAAACTACAAATCTGTGACTTCTTACAAATCCGTGCCAGTAACTCTCTCAGATAACAATTTAGAATAAACATTGCTAATACCCATGTTTTTACTGCTGTCGTAATTCTGCGTCTTTCTGGTATGTTTTTTATATTCTTAAAAGTCTGACAGTGTGAGAGAGTGTGCCGATCAGAATGTGTAGGTAAGTGCTTGACTCTGATTGCTGATTGGGAATGACAGCAACTCAGCCATGAAGTGGTATACCACATAACATCACAGAGCGAGGACAGCATATGTTGATGCGCATGGTGTGCAAAGACCACCACCTTCCTGCAGACCTCCAAACTTCATGGAATAGGTTTCCATGGCTGAGCAGCTGCATCCCAGCCATGGGCGATCGTGGCTCAACATTGTGGGAACTGTTTGCAGATGCCCCCTTTCTGTTCCACCAGGACCAGTGCACAAAGCAAGGTCCATAAACACATGAGAGAGTTTGGTGTGGAAGAACCTCAACCTGATAGAACACCTTTGGGATGAATTAGAGCAGAGACTGCGAGCCAGGTCCTCTCGTCCAACATCACTGTCTGACCTCACAACTGTGCTTCTGGAAGAATGGTCAAAAATTCCCATAAATCCCTCCTAAACCTTTCCACAAAGTTTGGAGCCTCTCGGAGCAGTGTAGCTTATTGTGTTATATACTGTTACATTTCAAATACTGTGATTCTCATTAACACTTTGTTAATGAATAGTAATTACTTTGTACTTTGCAGTAAAATGCCAATTGATGATTATAATGCAATGCTCTGTAATCTATAAGTATCTGAATGGTTATGATAGTTTCTGATCCTCCTTCACTACGTCCATGAATCTTCTCTGAGGTCTTCCTCTTTTCCTCGTGCCCGGCAGCTCCACATTCAACATTCTTTATTAAATATTTCTATTATTATCATCAACAGACGTAAAAAGTGCAATTTTGTCAAACCTAACTCCAAACTTTTTAAAACAAACAGCAGATTTATTATTCATGCCTCCCCAGGCTGACAGCCATTGGCTGAAATTTGGCTCGACTGAAGTGCCTTCATGATAGTGCTTCGGGGCATTTGAGCCTTTTTTTTTTTTTTTTTAAATTATTCAGAGGTCTGGCTCACATCCACCTCAAAGCAATTTGGATTCATAATTCAGCTCTGCTTGCAAGAGAGCAGCTTTACATCGCTGAAAAATCATCAGAAAACTAACCTTCAGTGCACGGAACCAAAAAACACAGTGAATGAAAAAGTTCAAAGGTAAAATAAAACAAGAAATAGGATGATGCTAAATAATAAGAAACGTAAAGATTTCTCCCTACGTCCTACGACATGGCCGTGGCAAAGAAGAGATAAAAAAGAATAAACAAAGATGAGTTCACTCAAAGGTTTAAGAAAAATAAGATTTATTTTGACTGAGCCCAGTGTACACAGATCAAGACTGACAATTTTTGTTGGTTTAAACTTAAGAGTGTGCTGGGCTAGTATTAAAAACAGACATAGATCTATTGACAACGGATCTATTGTTAAACTGCTGTGAAGAGAAAAAAAAACACATTTTCTCAGATATTATTAGGTATATCCTGGTCTTACAAGGTGTGATCATAAAGTTCTGCAACTCTGCAAAAACAAAAACAGTCCCCCCTCGAAGGTGGTCTCTGGTGCAACACTGCATGAATCTGTTACATTTGGCTTCATTTTAGAGAACAGAGTCGTATCTGGCTGTATGTAACCAGTGGTGAGCTACAAAAAATCCCAACCTTTGGTGTTTTCGATTTACAGTGTACAGATTTACGTCATTTCTACTAAATGCCGTCCCTTGAATGCCTCAGGATATTAGATCCTTGAATAAGTCTGACCTTGGTGCACAACGCATGAATGCTGGGGAAAAAAATCGTCTAGATCCTGATGCGTTGCTTTTGGATTGTGTGCTGTTTGGTCGGTGGGCTGTAGGTGGACAAGCCGCTCTCATAACCTTTGATGACCCTCCGAGTCAAAGCTGTTTCAGCCTGACACAGAAGTTAACGTTTGAATTGCTCCAGTGGACAGAATGAGACGTTCAAGGAGTGATCTAAAAATAGCAGCGGTGCTGGAAGTAGTCCAGTCCTGCACAAGGACAGTGTGTTGAAGTGGAGCTCAAAGCGTAGTCTTTCATTTCTTTAAGGGTGAAGTCATAAAAGTCACAGAAGTTTCTAATCGCACCTAGTATATCCCGCCGAACCTACATAACATCCTTGGTGGCCATTCTGCATACGACCGCATCAAGCAGACTCCCACATTTCTCCTCCTGGGGAGTGACTTTGTACAGCTGTAATGGAGGGAAAAAATAAATTAAAATATTCTTTAAATTCATCAAGCAAAGTGTTAAAGCGGTAGTGAGGAAACTGCAATTGATTATGTACTCTGTGGGTTATAACATGATTTTAGGCCCAGTTTTTTTTTTCTTTTGTCAGATCTTCCCTGAATTTTTCATTTAGTCTGGGACTGGATATAATCCACATCTGAGAATGTTTTGGGAATAAAGCAACATTAGGAGAAACAACTGTGCAGCCTGTCACCCCTGTAACATAACAAGATACAAGTGTGGAATGCAGATTAATTAAAAGCAGCGACCTTTTTGATCTTTGCGTGGTCTGACAGTGAAGAAATCTCTTCCACTGGAACCTGCCGGCCCTCCACCCTGGCTGCAATGTCTGACACGACCTGGGACTCATCTTTGCTGTCAACCATAACGATCAGAACGGAGTCATCACCATCTGAGATCCCAAATCTTTTAAAGGCCTCTGAGATCTATATTAGTGGAAGCATACAGATAGCTTACATATCTAAAACTACGTTAAGAGTAACATATTTTTTTCAAAAATCGGAACATGGATCACAGAAACATCTTCTTCTTCTCACTTACATTATTTGTAGGGGACAGATTGAAGATGATCTCCGAGTAAAGAGTTCTTGTCTTCATTTTTTCTATTTTCTCTAAGTGAACGGCTTTATTGGCAGCTACCAGCACTTGAAAAGGATCCACCAGCTGGAAATGGAAGCACAGGGTCAACGTAAGCAAACAGCAAGACTCCAGGTAATTCTCAATTTTTATTTTTCAGTGAAAGACACGAGTACTTAACGGTTTTATTAGTATGTGTTTTATACAATAAAACACAGGCGTATTTTGAAAAAAAGCATTGCTAAAACAGACGGAAAAGGCTCACCATCGTAGGGTTGATCAAGGCACCGTTTATTTTCCCTTCCATGGCGCTTTTTTTCAGCTCTGCAGCATTTTTGACTTCTTTGAAGAGCATCTGGGTCACTCTGTGGTCGGGGAAAAGCTCCAGCTTTTGTGTTAGATGCATTCTCAAAACACACACACACAAAAGGTTGGATAAAATTCTATAAACGGCACACGGACCACGGTGCTTCACGTGAAGTCTCTACACGGCGGGGGGAACCATAACACGGTGACACCGCGTCAGAGGAAATCTCCTCCTAGGAGGAAAAAAAAGGATATCACAAGGTAGTAAAACGGCAGTCAATAACATAATCATCCAAAATAAATCATACATATGTGTAAGGCAGATATTACTCGACAGATAATCCAACGCTAAAGTATTTAGCATAGTACCGGAACCTATGGTTTTACACGAGTTTCTGTACCGAGCCTATTTCTGAATCGGACCGCCAGCTGTCAAAAATCACAAAAATTCTTCCGTTTAGCAACGGTGGACATGTTTCAGACAGTTTCCTCTAAATTAACGTTTTCCCGCGGTTTAAATTCTGGAGTCTAGTAGTTATGCGAGATACTCTAAAGTCTAACAGCTAGCTCTGGTCTGAACTTTTCTCAGTTTTACACCGTGTTTCGTCGTCAAACATGGAGAAATTTGAAGGCTACATGTTCACTGCTCTGTGCAGCACCAACTTCTTAATATCCTGCCTGCTGTTCTCCAGAGTGACCCGCGAGCAAAGGGAGCCCTATATGGACGAGCTCTTCCACGTCCCCCAAGCTCAGAAATACTGCCAGGGAAAATTCAACGAGGTAAAGTGTGAGTGATGAGGGTGAGCCCGCCATTATCAGGCGGATTAAGGTTAGCTAAGAGCAGCGGGGCTTTCGATTAGGGTTAATCTCCACACTGGGCATATAGGGCTGTATCAGTATGGTATGCCTGTCTGGATGGGTTATATTTATTGATGTCACGTGGGCCAGCTTTAAAAAGAGCAAGGGACTTTGTGGTGAAGTGAAGCTTAACTGCTCAGATCTGTATGAAGCTCTGTAAACCTTACATTACTAATGGCTATCTGTAAAGACATGTTGCATGTTCATCCTCATGTGACATGATGCATGGCATCTGACTGACAGTGAAAGCAGTGTGTGTTAGAGGAAACTAGGCTAAACGATGGTGTTTTAGTCAGGGATCCATGAGAGAGTGAGAGTTTTCTAAAAAGTGTTAAAGCCTTGCAGAGAAAAGATTGGGGTGGTTATTATTTATCACAGCCCTGTCTGGTTCACATGCAGCAGAGTAACATGATGCCTGGGTCCAAGCAGATGCCTGCGAGGCTCCAGGCACGTAGGACAAGAGACCAGTAAACGACCGCCTTGGCAGCCCAAAGAACCTTGTGCCTTCCAGCAACCACTAAAGGAATGAAATTCACATTTTCATTGGCTAAGTGGTTGTCATCAGGGAATACACTTTCCTCCTAGCAGTCAGTGGTTGCAAGAGAGTTGGCAATCAGTCTCTAGGACTGTCTGACAGGGGGTTGTCTTTTCCTACAACCAGACTCATGTTATGCCTGCAATCTACTGGAGCCTCTTTCCTTGTCTAGGGCTAAATAGATAAATAATTGGATACAAGCATAAAAGTAGTTCTCCTATAACACATCGTACGCATATTAATGCATGACGTTTTATCAAGTTCAAGATAAAGTGACACGTTTAAGTGTGTTTTATAAACTGTTATGAGCTGTCTTTGTTTGGTGAGGGGGACGTTAGTGCCCGTAGTGAATCTGGGAGTTTTGGATTTTAAGGATTGGTAACGCCTACCCGGAGCCAGCAGTTCAAACAGATGGTGACTTGGATGAGAGCAGTCTTTGATGATGATTTGGGGCTGTTCGCAATGTCTGTGAGGGAAGGAAGAGAACAACAGTGTTGGTGATTCTCTGGAGGGCCTTTTTATCTGCTGCTATGAACCCCATGTACCACAGTGTAATGAACTATGCTCTCAGCGGTGGCTCTGTAGAAGCACAGCAGGAGGAGCATTTAACTGAGATGATTCTTCCTGAGTGTCCTCGGGAAATGCAGGCCCTGCTGGGCCTTCTAAATGATGGCTGAGGTGCCACTGGAACAGGAGAAAACATTAGACCCATGGTGGATGAAATTTAAATGACTTTATTTGTAAATTTGTGTCGTCACATACTCCATTGGACGACATTCATATGTATCAACAGACTGCTATATTATTTGGGCTGTAATTTTAAGATAGCATATAGATGAAGATTCTAAAAAAAGGCTTTTGTCTTGTGGCTCAGGAGCCAGAGCAGGTCGTCTACTAATCCAAAAGTTGGTTGTTCGATGCCTGGCTGTAATAATAAAGTGAGTGCTGATGCAAACACAGGTTTTTTTTTTTTTAAATACTTGTATCACAGACTAGCCAAGAGAACTGACAGTGCTATGAAATATCCCTGTGGAGGGCCACAACAATAAGATTATAAAGGGATACAATTAATATTGAGCACCGTGAAGCTCAGCTCAGCTTATTGGTGTGGCCCTTCACAGCGGAAGCCCCCCAACTCCCCACTCAAGAGCCATTATCCGCTCACTCCACATGTTAAGTGAACTTTACACCTTGTGCCGTGTTAACATGTTTTTAATTCATGCAGTGGGACCCGATGATCACCACTCTCCCAGGCCTTTACCTCGTCTCAGTGGGAGTCATCAAGCCTGTGGTGTGGCTCACCGAGCTGACAGGCGAGGTGGTGTGCTCCACGGCCATGCTGCGCTTCATCAACCTGCTCTTCAACTGTGGCAACCTTTACCTGATCTATCTGCTCCTCTGCAAGCTGCACCTCAGGGAGAAGGTAAGTCCAGGACACGAAGACAAGACCACAAGTGACTTAATTTTTTTTTTTTTCTGATGTCACATTAACTTCTCTTCTAGATGCGGACAACCTCACGCCGAGTCCTGTCAGCGCTGTCTCTGTCCACCTTCCCTGTGCTCTACTTTTTTAACTTCCTCTACTACACCGACGCTGGATCTACTTTCTTCATCCTCTTCACCTACCTCATGACCCTGTACGGCTGCCACAAGGCCTCTGCGCTGCTGGGCGTCTGCTCCGTGCTCTTCCGTCAGACGAACATCATCTGGGTGGCGTTCTGTGCAGCCACTCTGGTGGCAGGGAAAATGGATGACGCCTGGAGGGTGGAGCATACAAAAAAGAGGGACGAGAAGTCTGCACCGTCCCAGATCCCGCTGTCATTCAGCGGAGCTAAGAGAATCCTGCTTTTCACTCTGGAGTTCCTCACCTCACCCAATCACGTGAAGGCGGTGCTGCTGGTGGCCTGGCCTTACGCGCTGGTCGGCGTTGGCTTCCTGGTGTTTGTGGCGCTCAATGATGGGATCGTGGTTGGCGACAGGACGAGCCACGAGGCCTGCCTCAACTTCCCCCAGCTCTTCTACTTCTTCTCCTTCTCCCTCTTCTTCTCTCTCCCCGTCTCGCTGTGTTACCACCGCGTCCTCCGCTTCCTGCAGGCTGTCAAAAAGCAGCCTTTGTTTTTCCTCCTGGTCACCGGCATCTCTTTGCTCCTGGTGTGGAAATTCACCTTTGTCCACAAGTACCTCCTGGCTGATAACCGCCATTTCCCCTTTTATGTGTGGAAGAAACTTTTCCAGAGGCACGAACTGGTGCGTTTCCTCCTCATCCCTCCGTACATCTTCGCCGGGTGGAATTTTCTGGACTCCTTTAAATCGCGCTCTCTCTTTTGGAGTTTGGCTTTCCTGGCTTGCCTCGTGGCCACCACAGTCCCGCAGAAGCTCCTGGAGTTCAGGTACTTCATCGTTCCATACCTGATGTATCGCCTGCACATGCCCCTTCCCTCCCTTCCCAGACTCATCGGGGAGTTCCTCCTGTACACGGCCGTGAACGTTGCCACCATCTACATCTTCATCACCAAGACCTTCCACTGGCCGGACAGCACAGCAACGCAGAGGTTTATGTGGTGAGGAAAAGACTAAAGTAATCATTTCAGGATTTTCTCCTGTGTTACAGGGGACCAGAACATCTTAAAAATCAAAGCAAAGCCTCTGTTACATCTCAGTATCAGACCGACACGGTCATATCATTTTTATACACTAACCACACGGCTTTGTTCTGAATTTGTAGGGTTTTATTCTCCCTACAGACAGAATCAGTATCTCCAGTTTGTATTTGACTGGCAAAAAAAAAAAGAAGTACTTTTCAATGACACTCAAAACACTCATAGGTAAATCCTGCCAGTCAACTGTGAATCATTTGATGACTGAATGAAATTGATATTAACAAAAAATGTTGGTAATAATAACAGTGGGAGATCTCAGTATTGTAAGAGCGCTGGTGTAGATTTAAATCATAATGAAGAATGTTTAATATACTGTACTCGCATGTTGTTTTTACCCCAAACAGTTTTTTTCCCCCTTCAAGCATTGATCCTTGTCGAGGTTAAAAAATAACATTTCAATATGGAATAAAAAAAAATCGGGCTCTCAAATAAATTAGCTTCTTTTAAGATTCATAATTCTGACATAAGAAATGTAACTGATTCAGGAAATCAGAAGATTTAATTTGTAAATTTAACAAAATGTTTATTTTGTTGTGTCAAGTCTACTTATGAGGCTTCCTTGTTTTTGTACGGCAGTTTTTTCTACAGCACTTGTAAAATGTAGTACAACAAAATTATTCTTTTGCAAGTATAATTAAAGAGACCAAAAATGATATAATCGTAACGTAAAGGTTAGATTTCTTTTGATGTGGGACGGTTTTTTTAAAGCATTTTGTGCCAGTGATGGACGCTGACAGAACTTTATAATAATGGGACTATTTGAAGATGTACATACATTTTTACCTCGATATTCACTGTGACCAAGCCATACGAGTCCACTGGAGGTGACCAAGATGTGTGTCGAGATGTTCACTGTTAATTTAGACGTTTTTGTTTCTGCTCGTCTGTACGTGCCCTCGTGCTCGATTTGTGGATGTGGTTAATTCCGCTGCTTATTTGTCGTCGTTTTCTTTATATGCACGAGATTTCAATCATAAAATTCATCCTAACGAAAATCCGATCACGTTGGTTTGTGACTCACGCGATCAAAGTCAGTCAAATCTGAATGTGTAATTTGTCGTGTTTAGTTTGAATGCAGTGTGACCTGTGTGTAGGTGTGAACACGAGTAAACGTTGTGCATTGATGCTGTAAGTATGCTGCTCCCATCTTCATTCAACTGTGGAATAAAATATTCAAAATCAAGTCTGTAGAGCACTCGTTTGAGTTTCACGTGAAGATGGACGATAGCGTTATATGTGCACTTGACGGTCACTTTATTAGGTACACCTCCCTACTTCCTTTTTGAAGCTTCTTTTGCCCCCTCGAGATGATTTGAGCTTTTTAACATGCTGCGTTCTCCTGCTGGAAGCAGCTGTCAGAAGATGACTACACTGTCGTCATAAAGGAATGGACACGAGTATTCGGGTCGGCAGAGTTAAAACTACGGGGACTAAAGTGTGCCAAGAAAATATCCCACACATTTGTTACACTACCAGCAGCAGCCTGAACTTTTGCTACAAGCCCGGATGGATCCATGCTGTCATGTTGTTCATGCAACATGCAGACCCTACCACCAGGCAACGTTTCCCAGTGTCCTGATAGGCGTGACCCCGTGTGGTCTTTCCTATCAGCTCGAAGCAGTCTGCCATTCTCTGACCTCTGAAATCAGCAAGACATCTTCTCTGCTGCTCGCTGGATAGTTTCTGTAAACCCTCGAGATGTTTGTGTGGGAAAATCTCAGTCAGTCAGCAGCTTCATCCAGACCAGCTGCCACCAATGTTGTTCACTGGCCATTTTTTCCCCCCTCTACACTACTTCCTCTGTTTCGTGGTTCCACAGAAATGTATAATGAAAACTATGAACACCTTTATTAAACACCTCGTTAATTTGAAGGAACACAACGGAACAGAAATCAAGTCATTTAGAACTTAATCTGATTAATACTGTGACTATTTCTCCTTATTGACATCAAGTGGTACTAACACAGTTTGTCTCAGTCGGATCAGCCAGAGTCAGCCACCAGGAGGCGCTATAATGCAGCGCTAGAGACCTCTATGAACATGAAAGTGCAATTCACCATGAAGTAAATGAATTCAACATCTGAGTAACACTGGAAAGTACTCAAGCATTAATCACTAGATGTTTTGTTTGAAGTCGGTCTTGAGAGATATTTAAGGTTCAAACTGACTCAGTGAATTGATATAAAGGCCCTGACTCTAAGAAACACACGTTTACAGGTGAGCATTGTTATTGTTTTGCTCAAAGAGTATCTGTGATGTAAGATTCCTACTTTAAGTAAATGTAGCACCGAGTTTGAGGGCCGTTTTTGTCGTATTTCACGTTTCATGCATGTAATATTTCCAGTGGGTGACCGGTCTGGGCTTTTCTACAGAGCCATGCTGCTGTAATAAGTGCAGAATGTTGTGGTATTGTCTTGCTGAAATACTAAAGGCCTTCACTGTTAGAGACACCATGTGGATGGCAGCCTATGTTCCACTGTGAGGTATATTTAACGCAACACAAATTCTAATCATTTCTATACAAAGTGAATTTATTGAGACTTTCTGGGGTGTCACCTTCGCACACGGTCATGTTATCAATTAACTGCAGCAGTTGTGCAACATTCAGTTTTCTAACATTACACATTTTAATAATGAGTACCCGGGCTGGTACATAAAAATAGAGAATTTAAACAATTAATACATTGCATCTTTATGTTTTACGCACACAGGGTCCTGACTTTTTGGAAACAATGTGGTAACATTATGGAAAAGGTCAATGCTAATTTAGAGCAGTATTTTAGAAGACAGCAGACTCAACTGTAAG